AGTTACCTTGAGATGAGGCACACTAGAGAAATGGAGAGGGTTTAGCATATATACATCACGATGCCACAGTGAGGACTTCTTCATCTGCATGTCTTTGAACTGTTCAAGGAAAAGGGTGGACGGTATCATATGCACCTTTGAACCCCCAGCATCCAGGACAATGCCTGGAACCTAGTAGAAGTCTCATGAATACATACTCCGCAATGAGAAAAGATGTTTTTTGATCACATAATGCCTCAGAGTCCACTTCCTACCCCAAATCTGCCAACATACTTTAGTCTTCATCTGGTTCATCTCAGTCTCTGTTTACCAATTACCAAATAACAATAATTAGGGCCACCTATAAAAGGATGAATGAAAACTCAGTACATGTTGAGAAAACAGACAATCCTTGCCCTAGGAATATCAAAAGCTGACATTTTCCCAAAGCAGAAAAACCAATCACAACATCAAAAACATTCCTTTTTTTCTTTTCTTTTTTTTTTTGAAGAGAAAGATGTACTGGATAAGCAGAAGCCCCACAGCAATCCCATTTGTGTTTCACAGAGCTCCAAATTTTAGTTCAATTCCAGGCTCTGCCCATTTCTTGCTTTCCTAAGTTCTGAAAAGTTAATTATCTAAACATAATCTGCAGCCTTAGGAGCTGACACTTTGCCAAGTAATTGAAAGAGCTTTCCTAAGAAAAACTTTCCACTGTTTTCTTCCAGACAATGTTACAGAAGTAACTGTGTATACAATTAATTCACTCCTGGATGTTTGCTATCAAATCAAAGTGCTGAATATGTGGGTATTCTGATTGAAAGTGACAATTGGCTCTCCTTGCTTCCACTGACTGGCTTCTAGCCTTCTGAATGCTGATTAGGGATTAAGCTGGTGCACATGTAAAGGTGGCTTCACATGGTAACTTTCACAGAGCTAGCTCATATTCTAATCTGAGATGGTAACTTTCATGTGAGTAGGTGCATGCTTCTGAAATAGGTTAGGGGACATTCTCTAGTGCCCTAAAATAAATTAATAGATAAATATATATACACACACACACATATATATGTGTGTGTATGTATATATATATATATATACATACACACACATATATATGTATATATACACATATATATTACTTATATATAAAATATCATATGTATTATATATAATCACATATGACAACTTAAAGGTGAGGCATTTTTTTCAACACTTTTGATTGGCTTTTTCAGTTTATACCTCCTTTGTAAAAAGTCTCCCCAGTACGGTACCTTGCACTTTGTTAGTGCTTAATAAATCTTGGTTGGATGAAATGAAAGATATATTCCAGTAATATCCTTTTGAGGGCAGAAGACCCCCAATACTTTTATTTTATTGTAAGGAGAAATAAGCATCACACTCATGAAGACAGTGGCTTGAGTTCCCCTTCGTTATAGAGTTGAATAAGGGTTTGTCCATCTAATTCTATGTTTTCAGGTACCTCTGAGATTCTACAGATTATTTAAGGTCGCAGTGGATAAAGCAAGTGATGGTATCATAAACGGAACTAAGAACCTTTGAACTTTTCCTTTGAATTATCTATCGGTGGCATTTCAAGAAACATCTGATCAGAGTGGTATTTTGCGGGAAGTAAATAATCTCGGAAAGGATTTACTCCGTTTTCATGAAGAATGGACAGTTACCTAATGCAATGATAACGTACTGACCACTGAGATAATTCAAGGTAAAATTACAGCACACAAAGTGAGCTCTAGTGACCTGAATAAAGCACAGCTGTAGCCATCACGTGTTCCTGAACACGGATCTGTCTGCTTGTCTGCAGATCTTACTTCCATGTTGATTTTGTCACTCAAGCATTCAGAGCTGCTGTTGTGCCAGACACTATGCTAAGTGTCAGGGGTTTAGCAGTGCACAGACCAGGCACAATGCTACCTGGTGAGCTTACAGCATCCAGTGTGAGACAGGAATTTGGTTTTAAAAATCATGTAAATAAATATATAATTATAAATTGCTTGAGTCTTATGGAAAAAAAAAAGAGAGAGAGACATGATATAATAGGGGAACAGATTTTCTTTCAGGGAGCTTCTCTGAGGAAGTGCAACTTAAGCTTCCATCTAAGATGACCAGAAGTGAACCAGGCAAAGTGTAGTAAGAGCTTTTCAGTTTGGGGAAAGAGCATGTGTGAAGCATTTGAAATAGGTCGAGATTTAGTGCATTTTGTGAATGTGGATAGTGTGATCAGCAACAGGAGGAGTGAAATGAGTGTTTAAGGGGCAGGCAGGGCCTGGGTCATGCATAGCTTGGATGCTATATTAGTGACTTTGCATTTTATACTAATACAAAAGAAGAGAAAGAGATGTGATCTGTATTTTTAACAGATCGCCTTGTTTACACTGAGAAGAAATCAGGAGGACAGCAATGGAAGTGGTGAGACCAATTAGGAGGCTAGTGTAGGTGGGAGATAATGGAGGCTTGGGTTCAAGTGCTAGAAAGAGAAGTAGAGGGGAATGAATAGATTGGAGACACATTCTGGAAGTAGAATCTATAGGACTTGAAGACAGACTGAAGGACGGGTGTGAGGGAGAACAGGTGTTGGGCATGATCCTCAAGTTTTGGCTTCAGCAATGAAGTATATGAATTGCCATTTAATGAGTTGGGAAAGTAGGGAAGGGGAGAAAAATGGGGTGAAATCAAGAATTTCAGTATCAGTGTATTAGTGATAATGTCACTAAAATGGGTATATATATATATGTGTATTTATATGGGTATATGTCACTTTTTTTGAAATGGGGATAAAATAGGAAAAAAAGAGAAAGGGAAAAAAAAAGGGGACAGAATTAGACTAGAAAACTGAATTCCCAATGGGGTGATGGAGGGTGAGGGTTGGAGACTGGGCATATCAGGATTGCTGAAGGTATATAATTTGAAACAGACATATTCAACATTATACCACATATATATGTATATATGTATATATATATATATATTTTTTTTTTAATTTGGGAAAAACAACAACAAAAACAAAAAAGAAACTCCATGGTCTTCATAATACAAATTACAGAAAATAAACTGCAGAAAAATTGTATCTGGTAGATCCACAACAAGAGGTAGAGTCTACCACCTGCTTATCGGTGAGTTTTAAGAGAGTGATGCATCAAACTCTCCAGTCGGATGCAAGGAATGTGACTTCAGGTTCATCAAAAAAAGAACATGGGTTATTGATACTGAGCCAGAAGGGAGATGAGAAGGTAGGATAAAAATAGAGAAAGGAGAGAAAAAGTGAAATGGGTGGAGAATTCTTCCAGCAAGCAAAGACATCTCTGCCATCATGCCTAGGCTGATGCAGGTGCTAAAGGTCCCCTGGGTTTGAATCCCAGCCCTGCCACTTGTTAAGAGATGATCTGGGGCATGTCAGGTAACTTCAAGCCCTCTATTTCCTTACTTGTAAAAGGAGGATATTGATAACATCTACTTCATAAGGCAACTGTTAGGGTTAGAAAATATAATTCATAAGAACTACTTAACAAAATGCCTGGCACAGAGGAGAGCTCAGTAAGTGCTAGCTGACTGTGCATAGCTAATTATAGATGTCTGAATACCAGGAAGTCATTATTGTAGGTGTGTGTGCACCTTCTGCTTCCCTATGACTGTGGTAACTTTGCCTTCTTAGCTTCAAAATGGAATAATCTGCTATATCAAGAACAGGTTTTTAAGATTTGTTCAAAATAAAATAAAATTTAATTAATATTTATGAAGCATTCTAAAATGCTACTAGGCTTTAATTGTTGCAATTAGTGAAAATGCCCCAGCTGATTACATGGCCAAAAATATGTTTTCTCATGTATTTCTAGAAATGTTATGTATAATTAAAATTTGTTATTTAACTCCTCTAGAAAGGCCAATACTTGACTTTTAACTTTTTCTTTGAAAATAGAAAAGAAAAACAGAGATGATGTTCTAAGGAGACCCTCTTGATATATCCATTTTCATGTTGAATCATTTTTAAATCTGTATTTTCTTGACCATAACAGTATTATGAAAACATGTGAAGGTATTCTATCTGAAAACATAACCAGACAAGTAACTCATTCATTATATGTAGAACATCATGATTGAGATCTCCTGATTTAAAAAAAACTGGAACTACCTTATGGAACACTAGATTGTCCTTTTATTACTCTCCTCTCTCTGTGACTTTTGCTATTGCATAAAGATGAGATTGTATTATTTAACATACATATACTTTAGAATACTAGTGCAGAATCATATTCAACCTTTAGCCTTAGAATGATTTGTTTAGAGAGTTGTGGAAAGTTGTGGAGAGTTCCAAGTCAAATCTGAACTTGGCATTTATTGGCAATACTGTACCGAAGGCAATGCCTTAACTTCTTTGAGCCCTTGTTTTCTTATATAAAATGGGAGTAACTAAATAAAGAGAACATGGTAAAAACCTACCATGATGGCATACTATAAAGGTTAAAATTCTTGTGGTTGATAGAACCAGCTAATTCTCTAGTTTTGGGTAAGTTGTTTAATACCTTAGAGAGTCAACTAAGTAGTAGTACTAATTTAATATTTTCATTAAAATATTAAATGGGAATAATAGTACCTACTTCTTAGACTATGTTATGCCTGAAGAATAGTAAGTGATTATTAAATATTATTCAAAAATGTACTAAGTACATGCTCTTTTATCCTTCTGTACAAGGGAAATAATGCTAATTAAATTCCAAAATTAATTCTTCTGGAAAAATATAATTAATACCTTATTAAAAATGCATGGGAACCAAGAACATTTGGAAAATCATGTGATCATGTCCGAGTGCTCTGTGATCACACTATAAAGAAAAAAAAAGGCAATGTTCTTAATTCCTCCCATCGCACCAAAGAAGCAGAACATCTCTCCACTGAGGAAGATGTCAAGCTCCAGAGACATGAGCAGAGGTGGGTTCTACCCATTCATCCTTGTGGAAGCACATGCAATTCGAGAAGATGAAGTGAGAAAGCGCATGCAGTACCTGGTCATCTCAGAGTCAGGGAGCAGGCCTAGGTGGTAGTGGGGGTAGGGAGCTGAGAGAAGAAAGCTTTTGTCACACTCAACAGGGGAATAGTGCCTGGGAGAAGCAGGCTTATCACACAGTTTGTTCACAGTGCTGTAAACAGGTTCCGGAGGCCTGGTGACACAAGAGGAAGAGAGAGAGATGCAGGGTTAGCAAACACACCCGACTGGGCAACCAGCTGCATTTCATCGTATGCACAAGTAAATGCCCAAAACAATGCCTTAGGCTTTGTTAGGCCTGAAGAAAAAGTCTTTTTAAGAAACATCATCTCTGGGTAGAAATGAGAACTTCTGGCTGACATCAGGCATGATGAAAATTCAGATGCCTGATACCTCAATGGAGTCCTAGTCAGCTTTATAAAGGCCAAACCTTTCTGGAAAACGTTGTCTGAGGTGTCAAACTGTGGGATCCTCTGACATGGCTCCTTTGTAAACTTTAGTGTCACCTTAAGTATAAACTTTATAGACTTTCCTGACCCCATTAGCCTGGACATCCTGTTATTTTTCACATCACCCTGTCCATACTTCCTATTTTTTCTGAGCATGAAATAATCTTGTTTGTTTTGTTTAATTTATAATTACTACTCTCACTACACCATAAATTTTATGAGGACAAAAACTACATTTATTTTGTTAACTATTTAGAGTAGAGTCAGTCCACATTCCATAAATATTTGTTGTATTCACATATGCATGAATAAATTGACAAAACTTCACACATTCATGTAGCAATTTTGGGGCGGGTGTTGGACTTACCGAGAAATCTAATTGCTTATACGATCTCAGTGTTTTATATATAAATTGCCCCCCCAACAGTTAGTTACAGAGAGTCTTCTACCAAGAGGATAATCACTTTAGTAAAATTTCTACTAAATGAATTAATTGAGAGATACTAAAACATTACCTAAAATAGCAGTATCTTTCAGTTGTTACAAACATGGGAAGTAAGATCAGGTACATTTCAGCCCTAGCTTTTGCCAAATGTGCATATATTACGGAGTCCTTGGTTATTAAAAAAAAAAAAAATCTCACAACTCTGTACCCCACTCTTTTAACATATGGTCTGAAACGGCTACCAGTATCTTCCAGTTAAGGTTAAGAATTGAAAGATCCAAATTCAAATGCAAGAACTATCTGGCAGTCTGGGTGGGAAGGCAAGGAGCAGGTCAGCAAATAGGGCAATGTCCACAAGGCCAGATCCAGGTGTGAGCGCCCCTTGGGTCCATGAGACATCAGAGGCAGCAAGTGGTGACCGCCATATCCCTGATCAAAGGTACAGGAAGTACAGATGGTGAACTTAGTGAGGGCATAGTTCGTGTTTCTATAGCTCCCGAAGTGGTCCCTAGTGTCTTATAGTTGCTCAGTCAATGCTTCTTAAACAGAGCAGGGGAGAAAAGAGGATAATCAAAGCATTAAAAATGAACTTTACCTAATTTATAGTATTACTGTGGGCCAGTCGGGGCTTAGACACACTATCTAGAGAATTAGTATCTTCCCTAAGACAAAGCCTTCCACAGCATAGCAAGGGATGCCTTCCTCGATCTGTTTGTTTTCAACAACACAGTAGAGGGGCTGAGGAGTGGACAGGAGGAATCCAGAGGCTATTTTGTCATTCAAAAAACTATCTCAGTGGTAAGATGAGGTGCTTTGTAATGGAGTTGGCTTGTCCTATCCCAATAGCTAATAAAATAACATTGACAAGAAGATTTTTAAGATTTCCTCAATGAAATAGCCATTTCCCCCCTCACATTATGGAAGCTAGCATATATTCTTATTCAGACAAGTGCTCCGTTTCCAGAAAAACCGTGTAAATTGGTCAATTTCTGTTTATCAATTATATAGAGTACACAAAATTCATAATGACAAACATTAAAAAAGGCAGCTGTAAGATTACTTTTAAAAAGTGCTTTTTATCAGTTTTTATAAGTAATTCACACTCTGTGAAGTGATGTAAAAGGAAAGATGCTTTCAGTTATCTACTGAAATACATCTTTTCAAATGGTCAGATTTGATACTGTTCTTGACCTTTTTGTGGGAGGAGTCTGTTTTTCCTTTGTTAATATACTCAGGTTTAGGAAGATTTATGTGTATTTCTATGGTTCTGTAGACACAAAGATCCATGATGCCAGTCTGATAAAGAAAATTGGCTTGGGAGATCACAATTTTGTCTGCACTGAAAATGGACTTATCCACACAAAACCTCATCTTGAAAAGGGCTTTGCATTATTAAGATACATAACTATCAATTAAATAAGCTATGAAGAGGAATGTACCAACCCTATGGGGATTTTTCTGCATAAGTGATCACAAGAGGACCTGATATTATACATTTTTGGCTCTATGATTGAGCTGCTGTAGCAGACATGGCTGGACTGCCTCCCAAACATCCATTTAGTTTTTTTCTTATTAAGAGTAAGCCAGGGGGCACCTGGGTGGCTCAGTGGGTTAAGCCTCTGCCTTTGGCTCAGGTCATGGTCTCAGGGTCCTGGGATGGAGCCCTGCATTGGGCTCTCTGCTCAGCGGGGAGCCTACTTCCACTTCTTTCTCTGCCTATCTCTCTACCTACTTGTGACCTCTCTCTGTCAAATAAATAAATAAAGTCTTAAAAAAAAAAAAAGAGTAAGCTAGCTTTCCACTAGTCACTTTTCCTATAGAAAAACTATTTCTCAGTCTCCCTTGTAGGTAGACGTGGCCCACTGAAAATGTTAAGCCCAATGTAATTGGAGCACAAGATTATGTGGGACTCCTCTGATAGCTGCTTAACGGGGAGCTGACTTGGCTAGCACCCCGTGATTTTGCTCTTTCCCATCTCGTCCCTTTGCTTACCTGGAACCTGGATATAAGGGCTGGAGCTTCAATAGTGATCTTGGACCATGAAGCAAACTTGAGAATAAAAAGAATACAGATAGGGGAGCATAATGGTCATTGTGTCACAGATGATAAGGAATTACACTATTCCACTTCCAGACTTTCTCCCTCTGTATTTCTTTTATGAGAGATAAAGTATGTTTATGCTAGTGTCATTTTTTTTGTTATAAGTGGGACTTAATTTTAACAGACACCCACAAAATGTAAGATTGATAACAATACAAAGAAATAACTATAGGGAGCCTGGGTGGCTCAGTGGGTTAAGCCTCTGCCTTCGGCTCAGGTCATGATCTCAGGGTCCTGGGATCAAGTCCCGAATCGGGCTCTCTGCTCGGCAGGGAGTCTGCTTCCCTCTCTCTTTCTGTCTGCCTCTCTGCCTACTTGTGATCTCTGTCTGTCAAATAGATGAATAAAATCTTAAAAAAAAAAAAAAGAAATAACTATAGATTGGGTTTACCAAAAGGGGCTAATATATCGAATTATGTTAGAAGTCCATCTGACAAGGGCACCTGGGTGGCTCAGTGGGTTAAGCCTCTGCCTTTGGCTCAGGTCATGATCTCAGGGTCCTGGGATCGAGACCCAGATAGGGCTCTCTGCTTCCCTCCTCTCTCTCTCTGCCTGCCTCTCTGCCTACTTGTGATCTCTCTCTCTCTCTCTCTCTCTGTTAAATAAATAAATAAAATCTTAAAAAAAAAAAAAAAAGAAAAAAAAAGAAGTCCATCTGACACCTTTTGTATACACAGAAAAATAGAAAGAATGCTATTTTCTGGTTTTATTGAGAGCCTGTTTAGAGAACTCACTGCATCTTTATTAAAAAATATTATATATAAAAAATGGTAACTGATTTAAACTGCCAGCACAGGGCTTAAGAATAAAGGAATTGATGACTTCTTTGAGGTCATAAAATATTCTCATGATGATGTCATTTCAGTTAACATTATGCCTTCTGCCTTGTAGGGCTGATTTAATTTTCTCAGGCTGCTATTGATTTGGCAGACCAAGAAAATGATGTTACCAATTTTCTCCTAGTCTTTTTACCTCAGTAGAACTGTATTTTGAAACAAATTATCAGAATCAGATCTGGCTAATACATATATTAAGGAAAAAGATCCTACTTGGGTTGCACTCAGCAAAATGAAGAGGAAAAAACTTTCTCTGAACACTACAATAAATTCAAGATAATAAACAACTAGGCCCAGTACATTGTTCAGTGTTGAACTCTTAAGACCTTTACTTCTGTCCTTTTGGAATCATTTTATGGACATATTAGTTCATGACTTCACGACTCACATGTTTTAGTAAGATTTGGTGTTGGAGGAAAGCTTAGATAACTTGAAATTTAGGTGAAGGACCTTGTATCTTTGCCTACGGTCACTTCCCAATTTTTACATGGTGGGTGGATTCCTTGCCTCGGCTTAATTACTCATGATTCAAAGTCTGATCAAAGCAGAGATACAATTATTACAGCTGCAGACTCATTTATACCTATCGTTGGGACTTTCACCCTGAATTTATTTACAAGTCATTTTGGGCAGTCACTGACTACTGAGTGGATATTTCAAATCCAGCTTAATTGTGAAAGCACTTGCTATCTCAGAAGACGGGTAGATGAAAAACACCAAAACGTAACAAAACACCTGACAAACCTGACAGAGCCTTCTTGTAAGATTCACAATGTCCTCTTGCAACCAAACAACTAAATTAAAAAGATTGGTGAGAATGTCCTTCCAAGTAGTGTAAAAATGGAGTTATATTTGAAGATTTCTGCCACCTAGATTCTCTAAGTTCCTAGGATTCTATTGTGTATAATGTACTATATAGGCCACAGTACAATATCCAGTCAGTACTACAGCAAGCTACAGTCTGAGCACAGGAAATAGCATATAGAACGTACCTGAGAAATGTTTCTTGGAATAAATGGATTTTTTTTTTTTTAAACTATTCTCCACTGAGAGCAAAGAAAGAAGATTTCTGGCTCTTTCAAGGAAGCCCTAAGTTATGCTGAATCTTCTAACTCCATTTAGAATTTTAGGACATCATTAATTACCATAGGTTATCCAGAAGGAAACCCCAATGGTGTGAGAAATTACGGTCTTTAGGTACTTCACGTGCACGGTTCACCCCCTCTAGGCCAGGTTTCCTGTACCTGCAAGCCTGCCCGTGGCTCCTGTGAGAGTCACCCCACCGGCTCAGGGCACAGACACAGCTCAGGAATGAGTTCCAGAAGTCCTAATGCCAGCAGTCAGC